AATTATGTTTAATACCTGTAGAAAAAACTGTCACCAAGCAGTCTATCTATCCATCACGTGTTACCAGTAGTATTTTAAGCAAATTCTGATTATCAAATGTTCACTCTGTTTTTTTTGCAGAGCTAAGAGTGAACAAAGATTTAAAGTGATGACTTGGAGATGGAAAATCTATTGGAACTATGAATACATCTATTCCTAAATAAATCCAACCTTCCACTCAGATGATGACTGGAGAAGCTGATGATCACGTGAAAAATTGACCATGCTGGAGGCTGACCAGCACAAGAGAGTCACCACTGGGAAGAGCTGACATCATCCTGTTCCCTTAGACCCATGATCCCAAATATTATCCTCTAGCAAAACTTCTAAGGCAGGAACCAAGTCATTAGCAGCAGATCCTTTAAGTCTTTTAATTTGTGAGGTGGAGGCACTGTGGATCGGGCTCGTAGTTCCGGCACATCAGAGATCCTTGATTGGATTTCATGTGTGTTTTTTAGAGCAGATCTCACCATACCACTTTTAAATTACATCTGAATCAGGATGAATTATTCACACGTCATGACATCCCCCCCCTTTTTTTTTAAATCAGTACACATAAAATATGAACTTATGTCACCCCGTAAAGTCCATGACCTGAAAAAGAGTAACACACAAAAAAAATACTGCTTGCCATACTGCAACATTTCTCTTGTTGAAACACATTTTACATTGGAAGCAACTTTTTTTTTTTAATCGTCCTTTGAAATAAAACAACTGTCTATACATGACAAAGTCCAAAGCTCAATAAGCCTTCTAGGCTTGGAGACAATATGTCCACTTGCTGTTTTGGTTGGCAGACTTGGAAGCTCTGAACTGACATTTCTCTGTGGTGTTTTGTTTCAAATGTCCATTTCAAGTTTGTCCTCTGTGCTTTCACACACACTCTGTTGTGTCATGTTTTGATTGACCATGTCCTTGGATGTGTTACCATTTCCTTTTGATTGCATCAGAAACGTTCTGTTCTTTCTATACACCTGTCCATCAGGTGTCTCTATGACAGGATCTTGGCTGATCCGAAAGTCCAGTTACCTGGGCTGGATTCCATGTGCCATCTTGCCATATCGTCATATTGTCACCAATCTGAAGTTTCGGAAGTGCTCTCATTCCTTGATCGAAGTATTCTTTCTGTGTCTGTTGTCTTGTTTCCAATAACTGCTGCACTGTGTTAGTGACCATGTGAGGTTTTAACATTTGTGATGTTGTTGGAAGTCTTGTCCTCACATGTCAACCTATTAACAGTTGGGCTGGTGATGCTCCGATGTCCTATAAAGGTGTACTCCTCAGATTCAGCAAAGACAGATACAGATCTTTTCCATCAGCTTTAGCCTTTTTTAGCATGAGTTTAACAGTCTGTACTCCTCTTTCAGCCAATCCATTTGACTGCGCGTGTTGGGGGCTTGATGTTTTATGAGAAAACTCCCACTCTTTTGCAAAGACTCGGAATTCGCCAGAGCTGAACTGTGGTCCATTATCTGATATCACTGTTTCAGGAATTCCATGTCTAGCGAATTGTGACTTAAGATGAGCGATGACTGTTGCACTTCTAGTGTCTGACTTCAGCCACTCGACCTCAATGAACTTGGAATAGTAATCCACTAAGAGTAGATACTCCTGCCAGGGTCTTTCTGGAACACTTTCTGGAACACTGTGTTTGCCTGTGTCAAGTGAGTAGTTTCTCACTTGACACAGGCAAATTGGAGACCACCAGGTGCACCTGTGCTTCTATGTCTTATCAGGTGAGTGTGCATCTCCTTTCCTGGCTTGTACTGTACATTCACTTGATATTTCTGCAGTCTCATTAAGAGTCTCTGTATTCTGGCTGGAGCACTGCTCAACGGCTTTTTCATTATTGATTCAAGTGGTTTGTGATCTGACTCCACATTCACTTCTCTTCCATACACGTACTGATGGAAACGTTCTGTCCCGAACGCAACTGCCAGCATCTTTTTTTCTATTTGCGCATACCGCTGTTCAATTTTCTGTTTCAGTCAATGTGCGCGATGCATATGCAACTGGCTCGTTCTCTTGCAGTAGGACCGCCCCCAAGTCCATTTTTGGAAGTATCAACCGACAGCACTACAGGTAGCTTTACATCATAGTATCTGAGCAAAGGAGCTTCAGTGAGCATTGTTTTCAATTTTTGTAGCCAATGCTCATCTTCCCACTGCCATGCAACATCATCTTTGATAAGACTACATAATGGCTCAGTGTGTTGTAACATGTTTGGAATTAATTTGGCGAGGTATGTGACCATACCCATAAATCACTCCACATTTTTTTTGCATTCTGGTGTTGGCATGTCTTTCACAGCCTCAATCTTGCTCTGATCTGGTTTCAAACCATCTTTTGAGAATACATGACCCAGATATTTGATTTCCTCCAGGCCCACCTTACACTTTTCTTTATTCAACTTGAAATTCTTGGCTCTTCCTCTCTCCAGTACTTGTCTCAGTCTGCAGTTATGCTGTTCTTTAGTCTCACCCCAGATCAAAAGGTCATCTATATGTTTCAACACCTTCAATTCCTTCAAACAGCTGTCTGACTGTCCTGTGAAATACTTCTGAAGCCAAATTAATTCTAAACGCGAAGGAATGGCCGGAGGAATCAATAGCGGCCAAAAGGAGTATTGAACGTACAGGGCGAGAGCTGGCTTTATCTAATTTTAGTTGCCAAAAACCTGAACTTGCATCTAGTATTCTGAAGTATTTGGCTTTTGAGAGTCTGCTGGTTACTTCTTCAACTGTTGGTAGCTGGTAGTGTTCTCTCATTATGGCTGTATTAAGATCACATGGATCTAAGCAGATTCTCAGCTTTCCATTGGATTTTTCTGCAATCACGATGGGGTTTCAATTTTTGTTATCACTTTCATTTTTTCTGTTCTGTTCAGTTCTGTTTTTAGCATTGTCTTTCTCTCTCTCTTTCGTTTTATTTTGCTGATCTTTTTTACGTGTCTGCTTATGTTTCACTGCATCTACATGCTTGTTTTTTCGTGCAGAGGCTTGCATGTTGTGATCCTCATCATGCATCTGTTTAATTTGTGCTTTAGTAGTTTCTGCCACAAGGCAAAGCTGAGTTGCTTTTTCAAGGGTAATGTCAACTTCTCTTAACATTCTTTCTCTCATTGTATCTGACGTGATTCCACAGACAACTCGATCTCTGATAAGGGATTCTTGCAATTGTCTGAATTCACATGACTTTGCTCTTAGCTTTCACTCTGTGACATACTGGCTAATCGACATATCCCCTTGCTCACATGTGAAAAATGTGTACCTTTCATAGGTTATGTTTTTCTTGGGGTTACAGTATTCTTCACATTTCTCCATTATATTCATCAGGTTATGCCTATCTTCATCTTCATCTCCAAATGTGAAGGTATTGTACACTTCAACTGCCTCTTCGCTGGCTACAGGAAGAAATACTGCAGACTGTACCTTGGCCTATCTTCCTCCTACAGTGCATCCTGATGCCATCAATTCATCTGGTAAACAGCACACATGTACCCTTCCATACATAAAAGAAGACGAAACTCATCGGACCAGTCGACCTTCTTCCATTGCTCCAAAGTGAAGTTCTTCAATGTGGTTCATGGTTGTGGCCAGTAGTGAAAGCAGAGGGGTTTTCAGAGTGCCTTTCAGAACTCCACTGGCTCACCAATGGACAGCAAATGGTTTGAGAACTTATGGAAGCACTGAAGCTGTCAAAGGAACTTTGTGTCATATGTTTTAAAGCACACACTAAAATGATCTTATGTTGATGGATGTAATTTGATGGCGTATGTTTCCTTACAACAGTCTGCCAAAGGTCATGACTGTGATGTCAGTTATGACAACATGGATGAAGATTACATCATAAATTCTGATGATGAGCTGGACAAGTGAGCTCAATTCAGGCTGAACATTAAACAAATATAGTGAAGATGTTACTGAGGAGTTCCTCCCAAAATCCAAAGACACGCAGTCAGGCTGGCTGGATGCGCTAAATTGCCCCTAGGTGTGAGTGTGTGTGACATAAACTTATAAACATATGTCTGTTTGTCTGCCCTGCAATGGACTGGCGACCTGTCCAGGGTGTTTCCTGCCATCTGCCCAATGATCACCAGGATAGGCTTCAGCTAATTTGTTTCTTTTGAGCCTTTCAGAGGTGGACTTGCTTGTGTGCTTCGGATCATTGTCCTGCTGCATAACCCAACTGAGCTTGAGCTGTAGGTCACAAACTGACGGGAGGACATTCTCCTCCAGGATTTTCTGATGGAGAGCAGAATTCATGGTTCCATCAATTATTACAAGATGAGTCTTTGGGTGTTTATTGGTCAGTAGTGGTTTGCACATTGCAAGTCTCACATAGATGCCATTTTTGCCCTGTGCCTTTTTTATTGTGGAATTGTGTATATTGACCTAAACTGAGGCAAGACAAAGTTTTAACATGAAATGTAAAACTCCCAGGTGAGCAAGCCAGGGGTAAGGAAAAACTCCCTCAGAGCTGAGGAAGAAACCTTGGGAGAAACCAAGGCTCACAAGGGGGGACCCATCCTCCTCTGATCAAACTACCTACAAAATTATTATACTATTAATATTAATAGTAGTAGTGGTAGTAGTAGTAGTAGTAGTAATAGTTAGGAGTCCATGAAAACTTCAATGTAGGGAATCTGTATTCAATGTAACATTGTTGATGCCTATTCCATGTGATATTACTAGGTCAAGCATATTACCCAGATGATGGGTCACTTCAGTAACATGCTGAATTAGTTCTAGACTGTTTAAGAGATTCATGAATTCCCTTTGAGTCAGTGCTATTGTTAGAATACCAGTGGGTGTTTCACACTCTAGGTATGTCTCTGGCGTGTTTTGACTACTGTGTTTGTGTTTTCAAGGAAAAGTCTGATGTTAAACTAAAGGTGCTTGAAAGTCAAAGTCTCTATTTGTCTTTCTCGCTCTATCTCTCTATCTCTGTCTCTTTAGAGATTATTTTATCTCACACAGACTCACTGAGCAGTATTTATAAACATAGAATCCAGCATGCAGCGGTTCAGTGAATATGGTGTAGAGTGTCTGTAGGTGGGTCAGTGTGTGTGTGTGAGATGAGATGGTGTAGAAGGACAGAATGCCGGACTCCCAATCCAGATACACTCCTACTCTGTTAGAGGGGGAGGGGGGGGCAGGTAGAGCAGTTCTCTGTTTATTGTGATAGACAAAGTAACTGTTATTAGAGCAGATCAGGCTCCAGGATTGATTATTGAATCCAAACCAACAGTCCTTACTGATTCCTTTCCTCTTGATTCCTCTGTATGATACTGATATAACAACTCCAGCTCCGCTCCACTGAACCTCCCAGTAACAGCGTCCAGTCAGACTCTCCACACTCAGGACTTGCTCATAGTAATCAAATCTGTCTGGATGATCTGGATATGACTGGTCCTTTTCCATCCACTCCACCTTTCTGTTCCCCTCAGACACATAGAGTTCTGTGTGTGCTGTGTTTGGATCCAGAGTGAGATCAACAGCATCTGTACACACACACACACACATACACACACAGATTGGAAGAAACACAAACATAGAGAATTTTAATGAGTGTTTGTGGGTGTGTGTCTGTGTGTGTCTAATGTATGTGTGTGTGTGCAGGTGTGTGTATGTCTGTGTTACATTTCTGTGGTCCTGATTTCATCCTGATTTTCCCTCCATGATCCACCCTGAAGATCAAACGCACACATTTAGACATTCATTAAACTTTAAATCAAAATTAAAATAAAAAACAAAACAGATCTTTATGATATTAAACATCTTTCAGAGCTTACGATCCAGATAGAAGTAAAATCACTGTTTCATCAATACACAAATAAGCTCTTAGCTGTGTACTGTTAATTAAATAATCTATCGGGGAAAGAAGATAAATGATTTATTAATTATAATTTTAGCTTTTGTGTGCATAACTTGTGAGAGTGTGACTTTTCTTCGGACTACTGTCTTAAAATAATGAGCCTACTATGTCGAGAAATACTAAAACCTGCAGCCAACAGTGTGGTTTCTGGTAGTGCACAAGGTAGCACCATGCCGAATGTAGGTGAAGCTAGTGCTGGTAAAGCTAGCAAAAGTTGCTAGCAAATCTGATACAGCAGAAGACCCAAACTTACTTGAAGCCATGCCTGAAAACATGGTGAAGGTGATCGACACTAAGATGTAAACTGTTGGAGGCAATAGAGAGCCAGAAATACAATGGATTGCATAGTGCATCCAGGAGGCAGAGGAGAGGATTGAGGTGGTTGAGGTGGTTGAGGCCAATTCACCACCTGATGGTGCTTAGTTGACAAATCAATACCTCTCTTCACCCGAATGTCCAGAACATATGGTCCCAAGTCAGATGAAACAGCCACAAAAAGTTGATCATTGACCTTTGACCCAGGCGGCTCAGGTACTATGTACACTTATGAAAGTCCTTGTATTCGAACTTGGTGTTCATTACGGGCATGTCCAATAACAATTCACCATTCGAGTTTAGATTGGGCCAGCCGTTCTTCCCAATCAGCCCCTCCATGTCTCTCAGTCATTCCCAACATAAGTATTGACGTCTTTCAGCAAGACTATGAAGTCTGTAGGCAGGGTTCTGGAAAGGGCTTGATCCAAGAAGACCGAATACTCTGACCTGTTGTTTGATACATAAGCATACACTATCAAGGAGTTTGGTTCCAGAGCCAACACTGGGTGGGGGTAAGCCCAACTATATCTAGTTGGTACCTCTCAACCTCTCACACAAGCTCCAGCTCCTTCCTCCCTAGTGAGGTTACATTCCATATCTGCCACAGGGTTCCACCAAGGACCTCCCTGCCATCTCCCACCACCTATACGGCACTGCACCCCCCATGCTAAACCTTGTGGGTGGTGGGACATATTGCCTTTTCAGGATGAGCCCAGCTGTGCTACATGGGCTGCCTCACTGAGAATCACTACCCCCAGGCCTGGCTCTAGTGGTAGGTCCTGGTAACCCTCTCCCAGGCAGGGTGCATACTGTTCCAGACGATCTACCTCTGAAGATCCCTAGACCACACAAGCCTGTCCGCCATGGCAAGGCCCTGATCCTGGAAGGGTTATTCTTCTTCTTATTATTATTATTATTTTTATTATTATTATTATTATTATTAATTTTAATTCATTTATTTACTAAATTTCAGATGCAACCAAGTGGCCTTCCTGGATGTTCATTTTACAGCAACTCCTTTCTGATCCATCACTGAGCAGCAGGCCAATTGCTCCCCTCTCTGCTGGAGGCTGCAAAGACCTGCCATGGGAATCCACCAGTCAGCAGCAGCCACTCCAACATACCCTGTGTCACACAGCCACTCTGCCATGACTCTCCAATGCATTCTACCAGACACCCAGGCCACTTCTCCCCTACTCTGAGAATGACAGCACATTCTTCTTGCTGTTTACTGCCATGGGATGTAGCCCAGCAGTCCCACTTCTCCACACTATCTTATGTCCATACTTACATCAGGAAAGTATTTAAATTTACACCATACACTCTGCAAAGAATGCATTTATTTTAGGTTTCCCATGGTTGGTCCAGCATCATCCCATGATAGCTTGGGGAGAAAGGGAAAGTGTTCAATGGGGTTCAGACTGTTTTCAGAACTGTATTTCCTAGAGCCACCTCAGTGGAAAGCCCATGTTTTAACCTTTGTTAGCATTCCTCCATGTTACTCTGAGTTCAGTGAAGTATTTTCCAAGTCCAAGGCTAGTAAACTACGACCACACTGACCAGGAGATTGTGCTGTTGAACTGTTGCCAGGAACCTTATGCCCTAAGAATAGAATTTTTTTTTTTGTCATAACCAGAGACCAAGGCATTAAATGAATGTATTGATGTAGCACTAAAATTGGGGTACATTGATCCACTTCCCCTGCTGCAGCCAGCTTCTTTTTTGTTGAAAAGAAGGATGGCGGGTTACGTCCTTGTGTGGATTATAGGGGTTTGAATTCAATCATTGTGAAGTATTGCTATCCTTTACCATTGGTTCTAGTGGCCCTGGAAAAATTAAGGGGGTCTACGGTGTTTACCAAATTAGATCTGAGAAGCGCATATAACAAGATGAAGAATAAAGGAGGGGGACGAATGGAAAACTGCCGTTGTGAATATTGATTTGCCACTATGAATATTAAGTAACGACATACAGCCTGGCCAATGCACCCTCAGTGTTTCAAGCCTTCAGAAATGTTCTAAGAGACATACTTGATTGCTGGGTGATTATGTACATTGATGATATTCTAGTCTATTCACAGTCCTTGGAAGAGCATTAACAACATGTAAAACAAGTCCTTCGATGACTGTTGCAAGATAACTTTTATGTAAAATTTGAAATATGTGAATTCCATAAGGACAAGATTTCATTTCTGGGTTATGTGTTGAAGAAAGGGGGGTGCGCATGCATGAAAGCAAGATAAATGCCATAGTGCAATTACCAAATCACCACACTACCAAGAAGTTGCAAAAATTTTTAGGTTTTGCTAACTTTTAACAATGTTTTATTTGAGGTTTCAGCTCAGTGGCTGCATCTCTAACATCCTTGTTACAAAGCAGTAAAAATTAGAAGTGTGATTGTAAAGCTGAGGAGCACTTTACAAACAGAGTTGATTTGTGTCAGCTCCTATTTTGAAGCATCCATGTCCTACCCAGTGGAGGTGAATGCTTCAGGTTCAGGAGTTGGCATGGTTCTATCACCTTGTGATTTTTTGGCTAAGCTCCATCCATGCGTGTTCTACTCATGCAAATTAACTCAGACAGAACGAAACTATGTGGGAAATAGAGAGTTGTTACCTATGAAACTAGCATTTGAAGAATCGAGACACTGACTTGAGGGGGCTTAACATCCATGTGTAGTTTTAACTGACCACCGCAATCTACAATATATCAGAGATGCAGAATCCCGGACAAGCATTTGACTGTATTTGACTGTACTGTTACTTACCACCTGGGATCTAAGAACACTAAAGCTGATGCTTTTTCCCATTGGAAATAGACCATACACCCATGACTGAAGAAAAAATTAAAAAATCCCACATGCATAGTTGCACCTATTCAGTAGGAAAGCATGGAGGAGATTCAGAGAAAACAAAACATTGATCCCTCTCTTAAAATAAATTTACTTTTATTATTTGATTTGTTCTTTCACATTGTCAATCCCTTTTTCCTGTATCAACTCGGCAATGTTGTCAATGAGGGTCACCCTTAATATTCTCTGAGGTTAAATTAAGGATGATTGATTGATTGTTCTTCAATCTTCAGAGCTAAGTTGTTGGGAGCGGTATGCTCCTGGTAGGGTCTCCCATGGCGAACAGGTCTGGAGTGAAAACCCAGACTAACTCGATCCAAAAAATCCTCTATGAGAAATGGACACGGACAATCGTGTACCCTGCCCGGGAGAGGGTCACCGGGACCTACCCCTGGAGCCAGGCCTGGGGGTAGTGTCCCCTGGCAAGCGCCTGGTGGCTGGGCAGCCCACGTAACCCGGCCAGGCTCAGCCCGAAGAGTCAACGTGGGGAGGCCGTGTGGGCCCACCACCCACAAGGTCCAGCATGGGGGAGCGGTGCAGTGCCGTATAGGCAGTGGGAGATGGTCGGGGGGGCCCCTGGTGGCCTAGACTCCTGCGGCAGAAACTGGCTCTTGGTACGTGGAATGTAACCTCACTGGGGGGAAGGAGCCGGAGCTTGTGTGGGAGGTTGAGAGGTACCAACTAGATATGGTTGGGCTCACCTCCAACCACAGTGTCGGCTCTGGAACCAAATTCCCTGATAGGGGTTGGTCCCTCTCCTACTGCGGGGTTGCACAGGGTGAGAGGCGCCGGGCGGGTGTGGGGATACTCAAGAGTCCCCGGCTGGCAGCCATGCAGTTGGAGTTTGTCCCGGTGGATGAGAGGGTCACCTCAATGTGAATTAAAATCGCAGAGAGGAAAACTCTGACTGTTGTGTGTGCTTATGCACCAAACAGCAGGTCGGAGTATTCAGCCTTCTTGGTGCAAGTGGGCAAGGTTCTGGAAAGGGTCCTGCCTACAGACTCCATAGTCTTACTGGGAGACTTCAATGCTTATGTTGGCAATGACTGGGAGACCTGGACAGGCGTGATTGGGAAGAACGGCCTGCCCGATCTAAACCAGAATGGTGAATTGTTATTGGACTTCTGTGCCAGGCATGGATTGTCCATAATGAACACCAAGTTCGAACACAAGGATAATCATAAGTGTACATGGTACCAGAGCTCCTTGGGTCATAGGTCAATGATCGACTTTGTTGTCGTTTCATCTGACTTGGGACCATATGTTCTGGACACTCGGGTAAAGAGAAGTGCTGAGCTGTCAACTGATCACCATCTGTTGGTGAGTTGGATCAGATGGCAGGGAAGACTGATGGTCAGACCCGGTAGGCCCAAGCAAATAGTGAGGGTGTGCTGGGAACAACTGTCAGAGCCCCCTGTTCGGAAAGATTTTAACTCCCACCTCTGGGAAAGCTTTTCTCATGTCCCTGAGGAGGTAGGGGATGTGGAATCTGAATGGACCCTGTTCAAAACCTCCATTGTGGAAGCTGCCAGACGTAGCTATGGCCAAAAGCTTGTTGGTGCCTGTCAGGGCAGTAACCCAAGAACCTGGACACCAGGTGAGGGAGGCTGTCAAGCTGAAGACGGGCCTTTAGGGACTGGATGACCCGAAGGACTCCCGACTCAGTAGATAGGTACCAACAGGCAAAAAAGGTGGCAGCCGCAATGGTGGCAGAAGCAAAATCCAGGGCGTGGGAGGAGTTTGGAGAAGCCATGGAAAAAGACTTTCGGTCGGCCTCAAGGAGGTTCTGGATGACTGCCTGGTGACTCAGGAGCGGTCGGGGTGGCTGCGCCCAAGCTGTATTCGGCAGGGTGGAGAAACTCTGACTTCAAATGAGGATATTGTTGAGGAACTCCTTAATCCGGGAGACATGCGTCCCTCATGGGAGCCAGGGCCAGAGGCTTCTGGCGTGTCAAGCTCCCTGGTTTCCCTGGTGGAGGTCACTGAGGTAGTTGGCAAGCTCTTCAGTGGCAAGGCACCAGGGGTGGATGAGATTCATCCAGTGATGCTTAAGGCTCTGGATATTGTGGGGCTGTCATGGCTGGCATGCCTCTGCAATATTGCATGGACCTCGGGAACAGTACCCTTGGACTGGCAGACCGGGGTGGTGGTCCCTATTTTTAAGAAAGGGGATCGGAGGGTGTGTGCCAACTATCGGGGTATCACACTGCTCAGCCTCCCTGGGAAAGTCTATGACAAGGTGCTAGAAAGGAGACTTCGACCGATAGTTGAACCTCGGATTGAGGAGGAACAGTGCGGATTCCGTCCCGGCCGTGGAACAATGGACCAGCTTTTCACCCTCTCATGGATTGTTGAGGGGGCATGGGAATTTGCCAACCCAGTCTACATGTGTTTTGTGGATTTGGAGAAGACTTACGACCGTGTTCCTCGAGATATCTTGTGGGAGGTCCTCCGGGAGTATGGGGTGCCGGGCTGCTACTCCGGGCTATTCAATCTCTGTACTCCTGGAGTGAGAGCTGTGTTCGTATACTTGGCATTAAGTCTGACTCTTTCAGTGTTAGCGTTGGACTCCGCCAGGGTTGTGCCCTGTCTCCACTCCTGTTCATGATATTCATGGACAGGGTATCAAGGCGTAGCCGTGATCAGGAGGGCATTATGTGTGTGCCCTTTGTGCTTGTCTCCTTGATTCCTCTGACTGATTAGCACATGTTAAAATATATTACAAAAGTCTGTCTCTACCAAACCTCAGTAATTGGAAAAGTCGACTACGCATACAGTTAAACAGACATAATACTGCATAATGTGCCTGCTGATTCCTTAATTATGTTAAGGAATCAGCAGGTATTTGTGTATTCTTGTTACTGTTTTCACATAAAATTTTCTAAAACCCATCCTTGTAAGGATCATGTTCAGAATTACAATTTCCTATCTCACCATAAAGACAAACACATCTACAGTAAAACTTTATTGTAATGTTTACAGTAATGTGTATAATTGCAGTCAGTCAATACAGTGACAGTAAGTCAGTAACTCACTGTAGTTTCTCCAGTGTGTAGTGTGGATCCTTCAGTAGATCAAAGACCAGCTTCAGTCCAGACTCTCCTGGGTGATTATAGGTCAGATCCAGTTCTCTCAAATGGGAGGAATTTGCTTTCAGTGCTGAAGCCAGAGAAGAACAGCCTTTGTCTGTAACCATACAACCAGATAATCTGCAGAAAAGGAAGTAAAGATGAACAGTTGGCTTTTACATGCAGCAAAAACATCAGCTAACAACTTAACTACAAACACAAGCACCTGAGAAATAAATATCAACCCTGATATAAAACAAGAAAGAACAAAAACAAATAACAAAACTGAAACAATAGCTTTACACTACTAATTACAAGCCTGTTTCCAAAAATGTGGGACCTTGCAAAATGTAAATAAAAAAAAACAGAACACAATGATGTGCAAATAGTTTAAATTCTGTATTTACTTCAAATTGGTACATAAGCTAATTTGCATATTATTGTTTTTGTCATATATGGCCATTCTGAATTTGATGCCAGCAGCAGATTTCAAAAAAGTAGAGAAAGTAAAATGTTTTCCCAAAGTAACGCGTTCATGCTGGGAGTGGCAAAAAACAAAAAATCCATGTGCATCCACAAGGCATGTGCACAATATATTCCAGTGTCCCAGAAAGTGTCTTGTTGAAGGCTTGAGAAGACTGCAACACATTGGCACATTTTTATATAAATTACCGTTCAATAAAGGCTTTTTATACTTTTCGTTAGACAGTGTGCCCAAGAATTTATTTGTTCTGGGATTTATTTTGCACATGCTTTGTGGATGGGGATGGATTTTTTTGTTTTTTGGCACTCCCAGCATGGAATCTTTACTTTGAGTTTACTGCATCCTTGCCCCAGGAGCACCTGTCTTTTTGCTCCATTTCTGCAACCTCTGCATCACTTCTTCACTTTAGTTTTTTTATGAAATGTTTTCTCATTGTTGCTTGACATGGGATTTCAGCTGCTCAACAGTCATGTTTTTTGTTTCATAGTGGGCCAATTGTACATGCAGAATGAGGTTTGGCATCATCTTGCTGAAATAAACAAGGTTTTCTGAAAAAGACATTGTCTGGAAATATACAACACCAATTCCAAAAAAGTTGGGATACTGTGTAAAATGTAAATAAATTTAAATAAAAACAAAATGCTATGATTTGCAAATCCCATATACTCGTATTTTATTCACAGTAGAATGTAGAACACATATCAGATGTTGAAATGTTTTACCATTTCATGAAAACCATTAACTCAACTTGACGGCAGCAACACATCTCAAAAAAGATGGGACAGGGCCATGTCTAACATTGTGTAGCATCTCCTCCTCTTTTAACAAGTCTGTAGGTACCACTGCTCAGACTCAGCTAACCAACACTGCGCTGCCCTCCTCCACAGAGGAGCCAGCACGCAGGCTTACTACAGATGAGTTAAGAAAGAGCCCTGATGAGGGTCTCAACTTGGAAAGCAGCAGGTCCAGATGGGACTCTAGGTCAGGTTCAATATCAACAAGGATGAGGGATCATAGAAGGAGGAACTGCAGCTTTTTACAGAGTGGTTCACTGCCAATAAACTCTCCCTCAATGTTAGCAAAGGCAAGGAGATGACTGTTGACTTTAGGAGGTGGAGCAGAGTGCACATACCACTTAGCATCGAGGAGAGAATGGTGGAAAATTATCTCTGTGTCCACATAGCCAAGGATCTCACATGGTCATTTAATACGTTGCACATTGTGAGACTCAGCAACTTCCTCTGAAGGCTGCGGAGAGTCAACTTGCCACAACAGGTCCACTTTGGAGAACATCCTGACAAGCTGTATTATGGTCTGCTATGGCCATCACAGAGCATCACTGCAACTGTCTGCCCACCCATACAGGACTTCTAAAACAGCAGATCCCTCAGGAAAGCCAACAGCATCTCATCTAAACCCACACACTCCAGCCACTTCCTGTTTCAACCTCTGCCATCAGGAAAGAGGTACCGGAACGTCCACACCAGAACCACTAGATTCAAGAACAGTTAGTAGCCTGACAGGGTTTCATTGTACTGTACAACCTTGTATTGGTGTAATAGAGAGACAGAACTTTATTGATCCCCAACGGGAATTGCAGTGTTTTAGTAGCAAGGCATATAATTGCACATAAACCTGTGTATACCATGCAGAAAATAAAAAAATAGAAATTAAAGTAGACATGAAAAAAGTTAGCTATTTGTATATTTACATAGCATATAAGACCAATTTTATTTTATTTGAGTATAGACGTAACTAGGAGTTGCAGCAATATTACAGTGAAATCAGCACAGTTCAGACAGCACCATCTCTGCAGTAAGGAGACTTGTTGTAGAGCTGTATATCAGTGGGTAAGAAAGATCTCACATGGCACTCTTTAACACAGCACAGCTGTAACAGTCTGCACTGAATGTGCTTCTCTGGTTATCAAGTGTAGCATGCCAGGGGTGTGAGGTGTTGTCCAAGATGGCTAACAGCTTGTTGAGAGTTCTTTGTTCTAACACAACCTCCAAAGAGTCCAGCTTGACTCCTACAACAGAGCCAGCCTTCCTAATAAGTTTGTTTAATTTGTCTAGGGCACTTATGTTAATGCTGCAGCATAGAGTAAAGCACTTACTACAACAGACTGGTAGAATGTCTATAGGAGCTTAGTGCTCACACCAAAAGACCTCAGCCTCCTCAGGAAGTAGAGATGGCTTTGGCCTCTCTTGTACACTGCGAGAATGTTACAGATCCAGTCCAGCTTGTTGTCCAAGTGCACACCCACATACTTGTAGGTCCCAACCTCCTCCACATCTACTCCATCAATGGTGACTGGTGACAAAGCAGCTTTAGACTTCCTAAAGTCCAGCACCACCTCCTTAGTCTTACTGACGTTTATCTGCAGCTGGTAACAGCACGGGCTGTATGGTGTTGAATGCACAGGACAAATCAAAGAACATGATCCTCACAGTGCTGCCTGATGTGTCCAGGTGAGAGTATGTTCTATCCAGCAGGTAGATTACTGCATCATCCACTCCAATGGTGTGCAAACTGTAGAGGGTTGAGAGCTGTTCTGACCAGAATGGTCACGTAATGATGAAAAAGTTGATTTGAATTGAATTGGAAAGGAATATGTGATGATGCATTTTACAGTACTGATTGTATTTAACCTCAGTATGTTTAATTTACCTATTCCCACTCCTGCCTGCACCCTAAACGTTTCATCCAGCTCCCACCCACAGTCCCATATAGCCACTCTGTTGCTGTGTCTCATAAAAATGACTGCCATATTTCAGACTTACCTTTAGTCAGCCTTATTGTCATTCACTTTTAGTAAGAGCATGTAAAAACAGTCATTAAAGCAGCTTTTTATCATTTATCATTTTCTGTCTCAAAACATTGCACTTTTTACATGCAAACTTGACTACTGTAATGCTCTTCTTACTGGACTTCCTAAGAAAACTATACAACCCTTACAACCCATATAAAATGCAGCAGCATCCAAACAAAAACAAAAAGAGAGATCACATCACTCCTGTTTTAAAAGAACTGCACTGGCTAACTGTATCATTCAATATAGATTTTAAAGTTCTGCTACTAGTTTTTAAAGCTCAAAATGACCTAGCACCCGCTTACATCACAAAATGTCTGTCTGTTTATGTTCCAGCACATAATCTAAGATCTAATCTAAGATAGTGGCTTTCTACAAATACCTTCTGTAAAACATGGAGAGGCCTCAGTTAGTTGTTATGCTTCTAAACTGTGGAACTCAATTCCACCTTTTATTAGACAGTCAAGCTCGGCACACAATTTTAAGAAGCATCTAAAAACATCTCTTTAACTTAGCATTTAATTAAAATTATACTTCTTGTGGTATTTGTCTTTTAATTTGATCTGTGTCATTTTCTCATGATTCTAAATTAATACTTATAAAACTATGTTTTATAACCTGTCTGTAAAGCACTTTGATCTGTCACTGGCATGAAAAATAAAAAATATTACTGTTATTATTACTATTATTATTATTATTATTATTATTATTATTATTACTACATGTATGTTTTGTCCCGTTCCTGCCTGCATGGGACTGGTTAACCCCCTGCTCCTGTGCTTGAGATTGAGGAAGAGAGTCCCAAAGGAACGCAGACTTCTGTTTTGAATAACTGATTTTAACTTGTTGTGAAATTCAGTAACTTGGAAAACATTTAAAGCTTTGATAACATTTAGTTTTACTCTGTTTATAGTCTGTAAATATATATTTCTGTCTGTGCATCATACTATAACATAAAACACAGGAAAAGTACAAAAAGAGTGCATTAGTATTTTACAGCAATAACGCCACATAATTTAAGCAGATCTACTTCAAACGGTTTTACTCTTTTTACCATAATAGTTATTAAATAATTATTCTGTAGGAACTTTCCATTTTATTACCGACTACTTACCACATCAATTACTAACTCATTTAACTTCAATTTATTTATCAACAAATAGAAAATAGGCATGTCATTTTTTAGGTTAATAGAACTTGTTTTTATTATTTTATTGTATTTCTTTATCACACACTACAATTACTAACACATTATTATATTACCATATCATTACCCACTTTTTGCCAATCTGCAAAATACTACTGCTCTTTGCTGGGAAGAGAACCTCCCCAAATCAAAAAATCTCCAAGTCTACAAAATGTATGTGAAAAATATTTATGTGAAAATAACTTATCATCCAAAATTGCAAATTTCACCAAAAGACAACATTGGATGTATGAATGGTTATTCTTGAATAACAAAAAAATATAAATATAAGAGCTAAACATTTATAATGAAATATCTAATTTACACAACATTCACCTGAGGTTCTCTAGTCTGCATTGTGAACTCTTCAGTCCAGCAGAGAGCAGCTCAACTCCTGAATCCTGCAGGTCATTGTTACTGAGGTCCAGATCTTTCAGGGAGGAGATTACTGATTGTAGAGCTGATGATAGTTTTCCACAGGGTGTTGAGGTGAGATTACAGCCAGCTAGCCTGAGAATGCAGAATAAATCAAGCACATGATATATTTCCAGGAGAAGTAGAATGAATTGATATGACTCTGTTACTTTACCTTTTTATCTAGAAATAAATACAGCACCAAATATATTGATTTAAACAAAGTAAAATTTTAGAAGAACAGAAGCAATATTTTATCAGTCCAAATCTCATAAAAAAAACTTGAAATCAACTGTAACATGACAAAATGAGTAAGACACTCGCAGGTAAAAAGGGAAAAGGAGACTTTACTATTTGAATCGAAATCCAGAATCATAGTCAGTATACAGGCATAGGTCAAATCCAGAAAGGACACAAAGCTCAAAAAGACAAACGTAACAATCAGCAAACACTCCAAAAGGGGTCAGGCAAAAAGGCAGAGTCAAAAAACAGGAAAATGGTCGGAACCAGCAAAACACAGCAATGGAAAGAAATGCTTAGTAGCTCTGTGAGAAGAAACAATACCTCATAATCACTAACTCTAAATGCCTGGGCGTTACACTAACACTAACTATAAGCAAAAGATGGAAAACATCAGTATTCAGGAAAATGTGAGCGATGATAGGAGCGTGCAGAGGGGTGTGTAGTCACGTGATTCCCCAGCAGGTTGTGGGAGATGTAATCCAAGTAGGCCTTGGAGGGAGGCCGACTTGGATGACCACCATGCCCACTACCGAAGATTTGAATGTGAGCAGACCAGCCACTGCTGTGCCACTGGACAGACACAGGCGATCAGGAAGGGAACTGGGGGCACCATCGAAGAGGGTTTCTCTGTGTTTTGAATTTGGAAGTCAGTGGTCAGGCTGGGATACAGGACGTCAAATGCAGAAACCCAAGACTGCTCCTCAGGGCCGTATCATTCCCAGTCCACAAGATATTGGAGTGCACCTCCACATCTCTGAGAGTCCAGCAACCAATGGACAGCATAATCGGGTGCCCCATCTATCTCCTCGGGAGGTGGTGGTGTGACCTCTGGTGTAAACTCGAAAACCAGGGGGGTGGGGGAGTCTAATTTAAAAGTTATGTCATTGAGCAGCTCTGAAGTCCTTTGTATAAAGTCATACTCTGACTCCAGGTTGATATGTAGGGGTTTTTTCAAGAAGATGGTCTGCTTGCTCCTTATTTCTCAGCAGTGTGACCTCAATTCTTTGATGTGCCTCCTCCAACATCCAGACATCAACAGTGGGTATGTCTGTAGTAACACCTGTCTACAGTGCTAAAGGAGGTTGATAACCAAGAATGCATTGGAAAGAAATGAACCCAGTAGCTGTGAGAGAGTTATGTGCTATCTCAGCCCATAGGAGGAATTAGGACCAATCTGTGGGGTTACTGTGACAAAACATGCTAAGGAAGTTCTCTAACTCCTGATTCATATACTCACATTGCCCATTTGATTGGGGGGGTGATGACCAGAATGCTGTGGGGAAGGAAGCAAAAGGTATAAATCTCCACAAATTAATCTATGACCATGAGGATGGTGGTAAGTCTTTGAGATTCAGGCAGATCAGAGACAAAGTCAACAGCCAAATGTGACCCTCTCAAATGGAAACTGGTAGTGAGCTTACCAGAAGGTAGAGAAATGCAGCTCTGGCAAGAAAAACATGCAGTGGAGGCATGTGTGTTTACATCAACAAGGAATGGAGCCATCAGCGAACTGCAGAACAAGCACCCTGGTGGACTGGCAACTTCAATCACACAGATCTCAGGTCAGGGCTCCCAAAATTCCATCAGCATGTGAACTTTGCAACAAGAGGGGTGAACATGCTGGATCTTGTTTACACTAACCTTTCCGACATGTATCAGGCAGAGCCATGCCCCCACCTCGGCTACTCAGACCACATCTCTGTAATGCTGATTCCTGCATACAGACTGCTCATCAGTCACTTCAAACCAGTCCAGAAGCAGGTGAAAACCTGGCCAGCAGGAGCCATCTCCGCTCTTTAAGACTGCTTTGAGCAAATTGTATGCAGCTTGTTCAAGGAGGCTGTTACTGACAATGATTCTGTTAACCTGGAGAAATATACTGGTTATATCTGCAAATGCATTGATGATGTTACTGCCTCCAGGACTGCCTTTCAGAGTACCGGTGACATGTGCTGCATGTGGCAGGGCATTCAGGTCCTCAGCAACTACAGGAAAACATGTCCCTCCTGTGACAGTGATGCCTCCCTGCCAGATGCACTGAATGACTTCTATGCATGGTTTGAAGTGCAGAATAACATGGCAGAAGGAAAGACCACCCCTCCACCCAGCGACCAGATACTGTGCTTCTTCACTGCTGATGTGAGGAAAAGTCTGCACATAGTTAACCCTGTACCAGACAACATTCCTGGCAGAGTGCTCAGGGAATGTGCAGACCAAGGCCACCACCATTGTCCCTGTGCTGAAGACATCTCCAGGGTCTTGCCTCAATGACCATCGTCCCATTGCACTCACACCCATCATCATGAAGTGCTTTGAGAGGCTTGTAATGAGGCACACCAAGACCCAGCTGCCTCCTTCACTGGACCCTCTGTAGTTCGCATATCACTCCAACCGCTCTACAGATGAAACCATAGCCAACACTCTTCATCTGGCCCTCACTCATGAGTGGAAAACCCATTTGGAAGCAGCCCAGGACGCATCCCACATGGCTGTTTCAAGACCAAGCCCGGTGACGACTTTCTATTCTGCTGGATGGAGTGCTACTACCATGTTTAACACCAGGATTGCTGGAGCAGGGCTGGGAATGCCAGCGTGACCAGGGAAAGAGAAGGTTTTCACCAATTCCTCCCCACTGAGTTTCACCTCCAGTAACCGGTTCGATGCCCTCAGCTCACTGCCTGCTTCAGTGCCTCGGAGAGAGAGTCAGGAAAGTGTTATTATAATTGGAGACTCAATAATGAGACATCTTGAAGTAACTTGCTCTGGAAGTAATTCGGCTGTCTGTTGTTTTCCAGGCCCCCAGGACATTGGCACCATAGTAATTCACGTGGGGGTGAATGACATCCCGTCAGAGAGAAATCCTCAAGGAGCATTTCAGATTTCTTCTAGACACCATTAAGAAGAAAACCAAGGTCAGGATCTTCATCTCGGGAATGCTGCCCACCTACTGGAGAGGAAGCGAGGTGTTCAGCAGGCTCTATGCACTGCACTGCTGGCTCCAAGGCTGGTGTAAGAACAATGGCGTTGGCTACATGAGCAACTGGAGTGTTTTCTGGGAGTGACCGGCACTCTACCGCAGGGACGGACTACACCCAAGCTGCCGTGGGTCTGTTATCTTATCCGGGAATATCAAGAAAGTACTACACCAGGCCTGACTGGACTTAACTGTAGCAGGCAACGGATGGGTAAGTAGTACCATCAGCAGACAAATAAGTGCCTTAAATGATATAGACAATGTCCCCTTAATTGCTACCATTCCCCTCTGTTTCTACTGTCTGAACACTAAAGCTTCTGCTAGTTGTGTAAGGAGATTTTGCTCCAAAAACGTCATTAAAGTCATCAAACCCTGTGTAATTAAAAAATCAAAGAAAAACGTGCACAGTCAAAACCCTGATAAATTTAATTTGCTCAGACCTTAAAAAGACCAGTCCCCCCAAACACATAGTGTAACTAGCAGAAAATTAAACCTTGCTCTACTCAATGTAAGGTCACTAAATAACAAAACCCTGCGGATTTGAGATCTTATTAAGGAGCATAAGCTAGATTTTGTGTTTCTGTCAGAAACGTGGCTTAGTGATAATGGCACAGCAATTCTACTTGAAACTGCTCCTGAAAACTACAGATTTATGCATACAGTAAGACGAGCAGATGAGCAGGAGGAGTGGCCTGCATTTATAATAGTGACTTTATCTGCAAAAGTACCTCTATTGGTGAATTAATGTCTTTTGAGTATGGTGCAATCAACCTTTTTAAATGATACACCTGTGCTAATAATTGTAATATTCAAAGCAAAATAGTATTTTTTTGCCAGAAATTGCTGAATTATTATCAGTTGCGTCCACAAACTACAATAAGATTCTTCTGTCTGGGGACTTCAACTTACATATCGATAGTCCTTCAGATAGCAATTCATTAGAATTCATTAGACTTCTAGGGACATTTGATTTGAAGCAGCACATGGGCAGCTCTACCCACAAGCTAGGTCACATCCTGGATCTGGTCATCACTAAAGGTTTAAACACAAATGTGTTTCAAATCTCTGATGTTTTCACATCAGATCACTTCTGTACTTCCTTTCATATCAATTTAGAAGTAAAGAAGAAAGTACCTGAAACATTACTTCGACTCAGAAACAGTTGAGAAGTTGGGTTAAATGTGCAGGTCTAATGCCACAGTGTGCAAACACAGTTGGCTGATGGTTCTGAATTCAATTCAATACTTCATTCCTTAAGATGGTTTTGGATTGTGTGCACAATGATATTTTAACTATTGTAAATTGTTCTCTGTCAACAGGTGTTTTTCCAGATGCTTTTAAAACTGCCCTGGTGAAGCCTCTGCTAAAAAAGAGTAGCAAGGATCCTGCCATACTAAATAATTTTAGGCCAATTTCAAACCTATCTTTTCTAAGTAAAGTCTAAGAAAAAGTTGCTTTCAAACAACTAAATGGTTATCTAATATCAAACAAATTATATGAGGAGTTTCAGTCAAGTTTTTGTTCCAACCACAGTACAGAGGCAGCATTGATTCGCGTTATGAATGACCTCAGACTCAGCGCTGATGCATAAAATCCTTCTATTTTGGTTTTATTAGATCTTAGTGCAGGCTTTGATACCGTTGACCACAAGATTTTAATCCAGCATCATGAATGCTGGGTTGGCCTCTCGGGCACAGTTTTAGAATGGTTTAAATCATACTTAAGTAATAGGCAGTTCATGATGGAAATCATTCATCAAAAAGATTTGCCGTTTCTTTTGGAGTCCCTCAAGGTTCTTAGGGTCTTTGCTTTTCTCTTTGTACATGCTACCTCTAGGTGATGTCATTAGGAAGCATAGTATAAATTTTCATAGCTATGC